TTGTCGTACTAGATAGGCAATCAAAATTGTGATATGTTTAATATGTTATCAATCAACTTTTTATCATTTAATAGTGTTGCGAATAAGTGTCCTGGATCATCGGGAAGAACGTGCTTGACATATTTATGAATAATTATTTATTTACTAGATTTGCAATTAGCGCCCCAGGTAATACGGTGATAGGAGCTTGTATAATTAATAATTATTTATTTAACAGAGTGGCCAGTAAGCGCCCCGGGTTATTGGGTGATAGGCGCTTGTGTTATTTATTAATAATTATTTATTCAACAGAGTTGCCAGTAAGCGCCCCGTGTCACTGAGTGATAGGTGCTTGTGTTATTTATTAATAATTCTTTATTTAACAGAGTGGCCAGTAAGCGCCCCGGGTCATTGGGTGATGGGTGCTTGTGTTATTAAAAATTATTTAATTAACAGAGTGGCCAGTAAGCGCCCCGGGTCATTGGGTGATGGGTGCTTGTGTTATTAAAAATTATTTAATTAACAGAGTGGCCAGTAAGCGCCCCGGGTCATTGGGTGATAGGCGCCTGTGTTATTAAAAATTATTTATTTATCAGAGTGGCCAGTAAGGGCCCTAGGTCATTGGGTGATAGATGCTTGTTTTATTGGAGCTTATTTGATTCTCGCGCGTCACCTTCGGTACTATTTTTTTTTTTGATCTAGTGACGTCAGAGAGGTTGGGTCCTAGAGAACTCCCAAATCTGGCCGGAACTATATCCCATCGTTAGTGTGCGCTTGCTCCCTCCCACGGGCTGACGGGCTCGCTCGCACGCGCTTACTCGCTTACTCACGCGCGCGTTCGTTGCTTCGATAGGCCCCCTGCCTTATACTACAGTTGCAACGCTGATATACTGAATTGGTACATTACCCCGCTTACCAACTTTGCTCGGGAGCCATACCAAATCGGTATTGACCCCAAGCAAATGTGCACACACACACACACACACAAGTGTATATATATGTATATATATTATAAGTGTATATATTGTATACGTATGTATATATGTATATGTACGTCATTTCATATGCGGCGGCGGCGGCGGCGCTGCACTATACATATATATCTATAACCTCGTGTTTGCCGCTCGTTGGAATGTATATGTATATATACATTTTTTTTATAAATATACTTATGCGTATATAATATATACACGATATTTTTTGTATAGTTTTATATGTATACGCATATATATGGAATGTGCATATAAAAAATTATCTCGTGAGGACAACACGGCGCGGTGGCGTAAGCTTTGTTTTTATACATTTTGTGACAAGAAAAAGGATTATTTTGAAGTTTTATAGATATTTTGGACTTTTTTTAGTACGTGATTGAACAAAGCTGTCTTATTCCATTAGTGCATATTCCAATACGTGGTCGAAAACAAATGATTGCAAAATACGTACTGCTATTTGTACGAGATTAATTTCATTGTAATTGACAAAAATAAATAGTTAAAATATATACGTTGCTATTTGTAAATAAAAATAATTTTCAAATGATTTATTGTTAAAATACATGTTTTTTATTTTGATTATCTTTTATTCATTTGTCTATTACAATACGAGTCCTTTTTTGCGAAACAGAGGCCATTAGCATAAACCTAATTTTTGCAATACACTATTGAGGGCTATTTTAGAACGCGTAGAGCTGTTGAAAACGATGTATGTGTAGTTAATTACTATTTCATTTCGGATAAAATTACCTATTGTACACATAATTTTCAGCAGCGCATATATATGTAGCGATTGTTATCGCCTACTCGAGAAGGAAAAAGGTGTTTTGTCCCGAGAGCACGCCAGGACTCATCAGTAAGGCTGATGACGTGCTCCCTGCCTTAGACACAGAAGAGGTGTGGGCTCAGATTGACTCGATCGCGCTTATATACTAATCGTGTGGGAATTTCACCGCTTGACGGGAGCGAACTATTAGGGGCTTGGCCACCTGGCGAGTAGAGCCTGAAGCACGAGAGATGTGAGACGCCACAAATCAACGTATCTAACTATTATAAAAATATTATAATATAAATTTTATCTCTATGTTCTTATATCGAAAAAGTGTAAAGAAGTCACATTCAAATCTCTGTCTGATGTGTACTCTGCATCCTATTGAAATACGTACTGTAACATCACAAAGCCAAATGCTGATGGTTGCAGTTCTAACATTAGAGAAGTGGTCAACAGGCTACATCAGCATCTGTACTTGGTGTATTTATTCTCATCAGGACACAACCAACTTACCAGTTGGTGAGTGGGCCTATGACGTGTTTTACAACATTTTTTTATAAGTGCTGTATATACCGGGTGATTCATTTCTAATAGGTATTGCCTAATTTGATTACTCGACGGCAGCCAACTGACATGGCCATCAGACTGAGGTTAAGCCGCATTAAGACAGCTTTTCGTCTCGTTTGGAGAGTCAGTTTTGAGTTTTGGGTATCGCTTGTTGTTTATTTCTTTGTGTGCTATCTGCTCTACTGGCTCTATGGAACCGTGGTTGCTTTCCTCCTGATTTGCTGCTTCAGTGTAGGTGTGTCATCTTGGCTGGTATAAGTGTGTAACTTATTTCCTATTCATCACCTATGAGATTTTTAACATAGACTCAAAGCTGAAAAAAGTTACGCTCAAATCTCACATCCTGCTTATGTTCAATATGTCTATCACTGATGTCAAGCATTTTTTTGCAGTTGTACTCTACTTCACGGAGGACTCGTTTTTATACTATCCACAAATACCTAGCAATTCGCGGATTTTTGTACCTCTGCCTTCAATGTACAATCTACCATTTGAGAACATTTATACTAAGTCCATTGATGAAACTTTTCTTCACATGTACTTCATTTCACAGCCTGACCATCTATTCAAGAAGTGTCCAACATTACTCTTTTTTCATGGTAACTCTGGAAATATAGGACACAGGTTTGCCACTTGACTGTAAAATGATTTAAATACTCTTGTATTAAATTTTTACATTTGTACTGACTCCCACTGTTCCAGGGTTCTTACAGAACTTAAAAAACTGAGAAATTCGTAAATTTTTGTGGATTTTATTTCACTTCATAGAAAGTGGGAGAAATCTAGAAAAGTTTTGAGTCCTTTTATAAAAATAAACCAGATACAAGTAGACATAAAAAACATGCTATTGTATTTATACTGTGGATTATGTATTAATTCTAAAAACATTAGATTAACTTGTTAGCATGATTCATCAGTCACATCATTTCAAGTTTTATCGATTTCTTTCTAATTAAAAATTTTACCCTCTGTTTCTTACTTCATTTATTGATACTATTATTTTATATAAATAACACTAAGTCACATTTCTTTCTCTCTCTTTCTANCTCAGTCCTCCCTCAATATGTATACTCCAGATAGTAGCATTTATGATTTTTGCGAATAAATAAATTTTGTTTACTATCAATTTAATATTTATTTTTGATCGTATGCTTCACAATAAGTTGTTCTCTATTTCTTTTCATTGGAAAATGTCATTCAAAAATCATTTCTCAGAGACTTTTTTATTTAACCATTATCAGTTTTTTTTTGGGACTTTGAAATTGTGTCGCAATTCAAATATAAAAAGCCGATCCATTGTGTGTTCAACTGTTCGCCCCTCTCTTGCCCCTCCGCACAGCTATGCAATACATAACATATTTTCTACAACGAAATAAAATTTTAAAACCAATAAAATAAGAAAAATAAGATTTTAATTTGGAAAAAAATGTTACTGGAGACTATGTTTATTCGCTAGGAAATCGTAGATAATGTATAAAAAACATCATGTCTGGAGAACAAATTTTTTTTCCCCGTATTAATGTTATTAGGACTTAGAAAAATTTTCGGGCCAAAAGCTGAAGTGGATATTTCAGCCGGAAGGCGATCGAGTGCGTCGCAGCTACTAGAGCTACATATATATAGCACCGGCTCTCTCCTCTCTCCTCGTGCCTGCAATCGTCTGCTAGTGTGATCTCTCACTCTGTCTCACTCACTCTCATAGGTACGTGCCAAAATACTTTCAGAATTTTTTAACTCGAAATTTTGCGCTGGTCAAAAAAAAAATGAAAGACCAAATCGATAGAGAATTTTCCGCTCTACACGCTGATATTTTTATTTACATCCTATCTCTTACCATTTACGCAAAATTTGCAAAATAAACTTTTAGCCGCTATTTTACATAGTTTGACTAAGAATCTACGTTTTTTACTATTTTTCCCGTAATCTACGAGTTCGATTACATATAATATCAAAAATGACCCTTTGGATATCAACTTTTAGGTTGAACAGATTTTCGACTGGTCTAGTATACGACGCACTACACTACTGTTGCACGCGACTATACTTAATCTATACATGCTACCGTAGTACTAGAGATCTCTCCGTGCACCTATAGGCAACTCACATAGGCCCCAGCTAGCTAGCTTGGGAGCCTTGCTAACTTTCCGATCGGGCTATAGGGCCTTTGCAGATGATAGTCAGCTAGTGTAAGTAGTGCTAGTTAGCTTCGAGCGAGTGAGGAGATAATGTCCGCCATTTGAGGCTAATGGGGAAAGTTGTGAGCTTGAAAACGCAGCATTACGCATATACATACGTCACGATGTACATACCCACCTGAAAAAAATGTCGGAATTCTATGTAGAATTACTTCTGTAATACTTTCAGGAAAGCCATATGGCATTACACATGGTTTTACATATGGCATTACATAAAGGGTCTTAGCTTGGTGATGCCATANATACAAAGTAGAATTATCTGTAAGTACATTATTGCCTATGCTTGACAAATGTAGGTTATGGTAACATATACATAAATGTGATACTGTCTCGTACGCATTTCGTTATTTTGTAAACGTAAACACTGATTCAGATTATACAGCTAGCGGCAGCCTGTGTCGACTGCTTGGAGTTCTTACTCTCACGCATACATTACACTTAAGTATGTGTTTTGTGTACTATATGACAGATGATATTTAATAACCCATTATTTAAAATTTCGGGTGATTTGAAGTGCCTAGCAAAATTATTTATCAGTATTATAGACCCGGTTTGGCTAAATAACATTTTTTTTCCGCCTTCGATTTCTCAACTAATTACTTCAAAAGAAATAATGTCTTTTCTCATATAAGATAACGCTTACTGTAAGATTCATGGGGGTACGGGTTCGCCAACTTTGCTCACCTACAGCACTGCAGTCGTTTTTTTTATCCCCTCCAACCTGATGCAAGGAGCGAATACTGTATGAATCTCGAGAAAATATTGTATTGTTTATTGCATACATGTATATATATACATATATATATATATATACACATCCCAACGAGCGGCAAACACGAGGTTATAGATATGTATGAATAGTGCAGCGCCGTCGCCGCCGCCGCCGCATTAAACGACGTACATATACATATATATGCACTTATGTGTGTGTGTGTGTGTGCACATTTGCTAGGGGTCAATACCGAGTTGGTATGGCTCCCGAGCAAAGTTGGTAAGCGGGGTAATATACCAATTCAGTATATCAGCGTTGCAACTGTAGTATAAGGCAGAAGCAACGGTAGTATAGTTCACGCACTACAGTTGCATGGAGGCCTGTATACTACGGTAGCAGAAGCCATATACTTTCGTTGTGGCGCGCGGGCGCTACAGTCGTATACGACGCACTATACTACTGTTGCACGCGGCTATACATACTACCGTAGTACCAGAGTTCTCT